TACCATTGCGCGGCGGGGGCTTTGGACATTCCGCCCTCTGAGGCAACCAACCCTGGTTCTGTGCAACCCGAAGGCCACGACACTGCAATGTTCTGCGTGCCGACAACACCTGCCTCGATCAGACTTCAGCATCAACCAAAAACCCAGATCCACACGGAAGTGCCACGCTTGCGCCGCCAGCGCAAACCCCTCCGACGCTCACGCAACATTATCTTGCGCTGCTTGCGGTGACACCCTGCCTCGGGATAGTTTCAGCACCAGACAACGCCATGAGAAAACGAAGGTATGCATCCAATGCATCGCTAACGCTCGCATCCCGCGGTCGTCTACAGCTTACCAGTTGTTATCTCCCGCTTTCCTGTCTCCCGCCCTCATGCTACTCCCCCTGCTCCATCGCTCTCTCCCGTCCTCCCTCTCTGCTTTCCTGTATCATCGTCATCCTCTGCCCACTTGTCCGCCCCCCCCTCCTCCAGTCCTCCGCGCCCCTCCTCTGCTCACTTCCCTTTCACATCCCCCTCCACATGCTTCTGGCCCGACGGGGCGGCGAACGCATCCACTGGCAACATGTTGTCACCCAGTGGACAGAAGTCTATCAGAACGGCTTCTTCGGATGGCATATTCGGCGTTGCTTGTGACAAAGATGTCCTCGCGTGTTGGCACCTCATGCTTCCACGTCGTAACTGCATGAGATACGCTACATACCACGATTTGCCCCAATTCTCCATATGCTTTCTGGATGGTAGCTGTACGTGCAAAACAACATGATCGTGACGTTTTCGCGAATGCAATCCAAAAGCGCAAAACAGGCGGTCGGGACATGCACCACCGGGTTTCCGTCGAAGACCTTCCAGACGCGTTCAACCTTGGAAAACTCACGGACCAGCTTGCCCCTCAGGTAAACCACGACTTTGGCAAATGGAAGCTGAACCATTTCCACCCCATTCTAGACACTTCGAGCGCCACCAAACACTATCTCATGATGTCCAACAAAACGCAACCATTGGTCAATATGGCACTCTTTGTCACCGTGTCCACAATTTACTTAAACGAAGGACACTACATTATCACCGCGCTGGCCGTGCGCAGTTGGCTCTCTCATCAGAAGACGTCCCGGGCGCAGCTCCTGGGTGACGCCGCCGCCCGGGCGAAACTCCAGAAACGGCTCTTGGACCAGCGCAACGCGATGGTTAAAGAGGAGAAGTTGTCGACGCTACTTTCGGTGGAATCTTACGACGTCCGTCGGTCCTACGACGCACTGGTTATTTGCGAAGACCTATATGGCCGACAACCAGATGCCGGGTACCACATCCCGAGTTTCACAGAAGGCGACGACGACTCCAACCTCGTACCAGACGGATCCGGGACCAAACCCCACAGAGTTGCTGCGCGCATGCACCACATTGCCGGAACCCTACGAGAGCACAGTGGCCAGCTCAACTAAAGCCCCGTTTTGTTGGTTCAAATGACAAGAACATTCCTTGCCACGCACGCGCAGTGGCTGCCTTATCAGGCACAGCTGGTATACATGCGTTTCTTTCGGAGCGCGCTCAGGGTGCGCAATTGAGAGCAATCGGTCATATCAGACATTGCTTTCACTGTGAATGTTGGAGATGGGGATTTTCATTTCTTGCGGAAATTGCGCCCAGACGCTTTCTCTAGTTGCAACTCTTTGGCAGACAGAGAGCCCGTGGAGGCTGCCGGGGCCACCGTTGCCACGAACGTTTCCAAAGGCGAGCGGGAACTCGGCCACGCGTTGATCCAGCTGTTGACATCCAGGCAAGAGAGCATGTCGTTGCACTCAAAAGTGAACGACTTGCTCGGCTTCCACGCCGTGGACTCTCACGAATCGCAATGCACAGTTTGCGAAGTGCGTACGCTCGTTTATGGCACGCGCCTGAGGAAAACAGAGACGACTGACTCGTGGCTGGAAGAGATACGCGCGGCCCACCGGCGCTGGCATCGGCAGGTCCTCCTGCCGCACGTTTGGGGCGCAGTTGCCGCCAGGGGCCGCAAGCGGGCGGCGTGAGTAAGGCGACTTCTCCAGCGCATTAACACAAAAACAAAAAACGACTCAACCCTTCATCTCTCTCGCCCCCTGTGGGGCCATGGCATCGTCCATCCTTCCATCGTATTCCCTCTCTCTCTCTCTCTCTTCATGGCGTGCTCTCTGACCACTATGGTTTACAAGGCCCTTCAGCTACTGGGCGCGCCGGCACCTCCAGTTTCGCGCTCGATCGAGGGGCAACCAATGAATGTCCCCGCATTATGATGTTGATATCCCCATTGCATTCTTATTCTCTCCTGTATCCTAACAGCTCTTCCACGGCTCTCCACGCTCCCTCCCCTCGCCCCGCGCATGCCCGCGCTCGAGGGGCGCCCCGGAAAGGGGGGCAACGCCGGGCCATGGCGATGTTCCGAGAGAAGCCGATGGGGGGGGCTCCCAGACTTCCTGGGATCCATGGGCTTCCCCACCCCTCACTAACACGTGTTCTCAAATATTCCATGGGCCAAGATTTAAGGCGAAGCGGAGCGAGCCTTCAAAATCTTGTGTATATATATATATATATGTTTGATTATACCGATGTGTGTATATGTATATATGTGTACACGTGAAAATTGCATCTACATATGTGTGTATACACGCAACTCCCCTTTTTCTCGTGGCCCTGCCTGAGGATCTCCGGCCACAGTCCGCTTATCGTGTTTGGGCCGCATGTTTTCACGAATGTTTTAAACCATCCGATTGCTCTCGGATTTCAAAATGGCGCTCCCAGTGCAGCGTGGGACCCATGTTCGGATCGACGGCCTGCTCCCGTCGCTCAGAATGGCGCTCTCGCCCCCGCGCGAACCACTTCTCTGGATCCGAATCCTTGTTTACCGTTGTCGCCTCCATCATCTCCCCTTCTCCGCCTTCCCCTGGCCCTCCTGCTCCGCCCACTCCTTCCACTCCAGTTCATGCTGCTGCTGCTGCTGTTCGTCCTTGTCCCTATCCTTCCTCATCCTCCCCCTTTTCCTCATGCTCGCGCTCCAGCCCACTTCATCATTCTACGATCCTCCTCTTTCTCCTCCTCCTCCTCCTCCCTCTCCTCCTCCTCCTCCTCCTCCTCCTCCTCCTCCTCCTCCAATGTACGCAGTTTCCCGTCTCCCGCTGCGCACAGCATAGTGAATCTTTGGTGGAATGCCAGGTCGGCTTTGACACGCGTCCGCGGATAGAGAAGACATCATGCCTAAGGGCTGGAAAGGAGGAGTCGGATGTCAGACATGGCGCGAGCGCACTTTGCCCTCCTCCCGTCTTCCTCCTCCAATCTCCTCTCCCCCTCGCTCGCCCTCCTCCCCCTCCTCCACCTCCTCCTCCTCCCCCTCCTCCTCCTCCTCCTCCTCCAACTCCTCCTCCTCCTCCTCCTCCTCCTCCTCGTTTTCTGCTTCGTATTATTACTGTCCTCCTCCTGCTCCTCCTTCTTCTCCTCCTCTTCCTGCTCCTCCTCGTCGCACCTCCTCCTCGCCGTCCTCCTCCTCCTCTTTTTCCTCGTGTCCTGGCTCCTGATTGCAATGCAATCACGCCGACTCTGCCGCGCCCAGCTCGGCACCCCAGGGCTGAGCCGGCGTTGAGAAGACGGCCCACCAACCAAGAAGGGGGGGGCCGAAGAGAGGGAGATCGACGGAAGGGCGAAACGAGGAGGAGCAACATGATGCCCAGAGAGAAAGGAAGAGGAGGAGGAGGAGTAAGACGAGGATTTTTTGTGTGCACGGCACCAAGCTGCCCACTGACACCCAAGGCGGCGGGCGATTCCGCCAAGGGGCCTGTTCAAACAAAACGATTAATCGGACCCCGATTCGGGATCGGCAACGGCGGACGCAGAGCCTCGAGACCGACCGCCGCTCGCCGCCTCGAGCAGCCGCAATGTCTTCGACACGCGGCTGAGGGCGCGAGCATCGTCCTCCACCTCCGAAGGGGGGGGAGGCTCGAGGGAAGCGGAGACCTCCTCCTCCTTCTCGTCGCACCAGGGGCCGACCTCGACCGAAACGCCGCCACGCTTCTGTCTGAAGGGCCCCGGGGACACACAAATAAATAGACACAAATACAAAGATTCCCCATAGTTTCTTATATTTGTTTGATTTCTGTCTTCCCCCCCACTTCCCATATGTTCCATATCTTCTGGGGAATCGACGATGATTTGTGTCTGTGTGTTTTTCCCCCTCCTGACTGTCACTCCATGCAGCCCGTGCTCGTGCGGCCACGCCGTGGGCCGCCCCCGCCCCGTCCTCCACCGCGCTCGTCCCCCCCGGGGCTCTGCTCCCGGCGCTGGCCACTGGCCGCAGTGTGCTGTGGCTGAGAGCCTTCGACCGTGCTCGGTCGAGGCCGTATCCATGCGGCAACCCTAAAGCTACTACCCAGGGTTTAATTGGTTCATCCCAAACTCGCCATCGCTCGGACGTTCATTCCCTGTGTTTTTTTCGGCTTCGTGCGTGGTTTTTTCGCCAAATGATCAAGGATGCTCCTCGATGGTCCCCGCCGAAGGAAAAATGCACACGTCCGAGCGATGCCAGGCCCCAGGGCTCTGCTCCCAGCGCTGGCCACTGGCCGCAGTGTTGACCACGAAAAAACACATCCCCAATCCCAAAATCGCGGATTCGCCGAGGATTCGAAGATCGGCCCAAGATTTCGGGGTATGTTTGGCGTTCGTCGTCGTCACCCTGGTAAAACCCCACCCCAAAATCTCCCTCCCCGAAGTCTCGAGGGGTCTGCGTTTTGTCTTGGCCCCCGCGATTTTGGGATTGGGCGTCTGTTTTGAGTTAGTGAAGTGTGCTGTGGCTGAGAACCTTCGACTGTGGTCGGTCGAGGCCGTATCCACACGGCAACCCTGAAGCTGCTACCCAGGGCTTCATCGGTTCATCCCAAAGCCTCCTCGGTGCCACGACCCCCGTGTTTCTCGCCAGTTCTTCTCATGTTCTGCACGACCCTTAATTGTCTCAGCGGGTGGAGCAGCTAAGGTGCAATGTCAGGCGAAGGGCAAGGATGGCGGCGGGTGACAAGGGGGGATGAAAGAGCGAGGATCCGGTTGTTCGTTCGCCGCACGTGCATAGTAGCGCACGAAGATTGTCAGGGTGCTACGCTGCTTGGCTGCGCTTGCTCTCCAAGGCGCCTTGCGCTTCGGAGGAAGCCGCGTACGGGCGCTGGCGCAGGCTCCAGTTCTGGGCTTCTGCGGTTGGGATCTCTGCGTCCGCAACACAGGGTGGCTGGCTGGCCGCCCAGCTCGCAGCCATCTGGGTGTCCTCTCCATGGCCAGGGTCGTCGCAATGTTGTCGGAATTGTCGGAGTTCTCGGAGTTGTCCTCTCCACGGCCAGGGTAGTCGTAGATGTAGACCCCCCCCTTCTCCTCCTTCTCGCTTCTCGTGCTCGTAGACCGCGCGGCTGGGCGCGATGCGGACATGTCGACCGCCGATGCCCCCCCCCCTCGGTACAGGGAGTCTTGTCAGCACGCGGGGGTTGCTGGGCTGGCGCGTCTGCGTCCCCCTCCGCACAGGGGGACTTTTCAGCAAGGGGGGGTTGCTGCGCTCGTCACAGCGGGCGTGCTGTCCCAGGTGCTTCCTGCGCGGCGGGCAGGTAGGGCCGCAAGATGTGGTGCAAGTCGAGGGACGGGACGAAGATGGGCGGGCGCCTCTCTCCGCTAACTGAAGCCCTGCGGCTCGACATGGGCAGCTTGGGACGCCGGGGCGGCGCAAGGGCCTTCCGGCTCGGTCCCACAGGCCAGGCGGCCTGGCGTGGTAGACAACCGTCGACCCTGGGCGAGACGAACTCGGGCGCCTCTGCGTCGATCGGGACGAACTCTGGCGCCTCTGGGTCAAGTTCCTGTCTGTGGTAGCCGGCGCGCTCCTTGATGTAGTGGTCGTCTGTCGGTGGTGGCCTGTCCAGGCAATGAGCACCAGGTCGTGCAGCGTGTCGCTGGCCTGGATGCCGTGCCCAGTCCAGGCTGCGAACGCCAGGCGCCGCCAGGCGCCGCTGCGTGGTCTCGGCCAGCATCTCCCGTGAGTGCTGCGGGTACGGGTTTCGTAGCCGATGACGTCGAGCTTGGTCACGCTTCCACGACGTTGGCCATTGCGCTAGGCAAGCGCGCGCCGCGCATGGCCATCCGCACCGGCTCAGGCCCCCCGGCCCCTTCGGAAGGGCTTGAGCCAAAATGGCTAACAGACTCCTCCTCCTCCTCCTCCTCCTCCTCCTCCTCCTCCTCCTCCTCCTCCTCCTCCTCCTCCTCCTCCTCCTCCTCCCCTCCCCCTCCCCTCCTCCTCCTCCTCCTCCTCCTCCTCCTCCTCCTCCTCCTCCTCCTCCCTCCTCCTCCTCCTCCTCCTCCTCCCTCCTCCTCTCCTCCTCCTCCTCCTCCTCCTCCACCCCCTCCACCTCCTGTTCCTCCTCCTCCTGCTCCTGCTCCTCTCCTGCTCCTGCTCCTGCTCCTGCTCCTGCTCCTGCTCCTGCTCCTGCTCCTGCTCCTGCTGCTCCTCCTCCTCCTCCTCCTCCTCCTCCTCCTCCTCCTCCCTCCTCCCCCTCCTCCTCCTCCTCCCTCCTCCTCCTCCTCCTCCTCCTCCTCTCCTCCTCCTCCTCCTCCCCCCTCCTCCTCCTCCTCCTCCTCCTCCTCCTCCTCCTCCTCCTCCTCCTCTCCTCCCCCTCCTCCCCCCGTCCTCCTCCTCCCCCTCCTCCTCCTCCTCCTCCTCCTCTTCCTCCTCCCCCCCTCCTCCTCCTCCTCCTCCTCCTCCTCCTCCTGCTCCTGTTCCCGCTTCTGCTCCTGTCTTGCTCCTCCTCCTCCTCCTCCTCCTCCTCCTCCTCCTCCTGCTCCCCTCTCCTCCTCCTCCTCCTCCTCCTCCTCCTCCTCCTCCTCCTCCTCCTCCTCCTCCTCCTTCCTCCTCCTCCTCCTCCTCCTCCTCCTCCTCCTCCTCCTCTCCTCCACCTCCACCTCCACCTCCACCTCCACCTCCTCCTCCTCCTGCTGCTGCTCCTGCTGCTGCTCTCCTCCTCCTCCTCTCCTCCTCCTCCTCCTCCTCCTCCTCATCCCCCTCTCCCCCCCCCCCCTCACATCCGACGCTGCAACAACAAATCCAACATCGCAGAACCTCGCTACTGGAACCCCAAGCCCCATCTTTCTGCATCATTCTTCGAGCTGGATCCATATGCGAGGGCCCGGGGGCACGAAAAAGGGCGCACACGTCCGTTGGGAAAAACTCGAGCGCCAAGATCTGAGGGTCCTCGTCCTGTCCGGCGCTCCCAACCACGCCATGATTTTTTAATGACGTCGACCCCCAACGGTCTGGAGTCTAAACCCATTCCCGGGGACCAATTCTTCGTCCCGAGTCGTCTTTTGATGGCCCCGAGGGCCAGTAAGGGCCCCCAGAGGCTGAAGATAGCAACAAACCTCCCGTCGTGTTTTTTCATGGTCCGAGGGATCCTGGGCCCTATCCCCTCCCTTTCGTGTCGCCCAATACTGCGGGCCGAATCGGAATGTAAATCGCATCGGGCCGAACATGCATAAAAAACACCTCCCGTCCTGATTTGTTTGAAGGGGCCCACAACACACACACACACACACACAAATAAATGCACACAAAATGACCTAAATCCCAATATTTTCACATGTTTTCGGTGTTTCTGCCTTCCCCCCCACTTCCCATATTTCCCCACATTTCCGGGGGAATCGACGATTAATTGTGTCTGTGTGTTTCTTTCCCTCCTGATTTGTTCATGGCCCGAGGGGGCCTGGAGCCCCGGCGGGCCGACGAGCGCGCGCCAGGGAACGAAGGGCGGCGGCCCGCGGCAGAGGGGAGCAGCGCCCCTTCGCGCGAGGCCCCTCGCGCTGTCCTCGGCGCGCCGCCGTGCCCGGCGGCCAGCGACGGCGCCTGGGGGGCGCGGCGCCTGCGCCCTCCTCCTCCTCCTCCTCCTCCTCCTCCTCCTTCTGCTCCTCCTCCTCCTCCTCCCCTCCTCCTCCTCCTCCTCCCCCTCCTCCCCTCCTCCCCCTCCCCCTCCTCCTCCCCCTCCTCCTCCTCCTCCTCCTCCTCCTCCTCCTCCTCCTCCTCCTCCTCCTGCGCCTCCTCCTCCCTTGGCTCAAGTCCTGAGCACACCGCTGGAGGTGCAGGACGAGAGCACTGCCGCCCAGGGTAGGCCCTGGGCGCTGGGGCTCGGGCAGGCCCCTCCGCGGCCTTTTCGGCACCACGATCAAGAAGCCTGCTTCGCCCCTTGTGCGCTCGCCTCGCCTGGCCCGGCCCAGTCACAGTTAGCCACGCGGAATGATGGCGCTCCTGTGTGCCGCCCTACGGAGTGCGGCCCCAGCGTCGTCGCGTAGCGCCTGCCGCCGCGCCAGAGCTCGCGCAAGCCATGCGCACGCACGCTCCAGGAAGCCAACGGCCGACTGGCTGGCCTTCTTGCGGCAGGCCCCCCCGCCTGGACTCGTGACGCAGCTGCCCATCGAGACGGGCATGCTGTACCACACGAGCTCGAAGAGAAGTTCTGGACGCCCACTGCCATGCCGGTCTCCGACATGGAGGCCAACGAGCTGGCCACCTACGGCGAGGGCCTCACGAACGAGCTGCTGTGGATCCTTTCGCCACAGCGCGTGGCAGACACGGAGCAGTATGCCGCCGCCGTGCCTGGAGTCATCGATGTCTCGGACGCCGAGCATATCCAGAAGCCATGGCCGAAAAGCCGCACGACAGCTTCGACATCCAGGCTGTGGACCCGGAGCATCCCCAGGGCACGGAGCCCTTCGATGTGGAGGGAGACGACGGCGACAACATCAAGAAGTCTGCGGACGAGCAGGTGGTGCAGTTCGCCGCGGAGCGGGCTGCGGAGCCGCCCAACCAGGAGGCGATTGAGGCGTCGGAAGCTGTGCAGATCGAGCAGGGTGTGCTGGAGAAGCTGCACGACGGCTTCGGCAGCCAGGCGGAAGTCCAGGAGCAGTTCATGGGCACGGCGCCTTTCGATGAGGCGCCCCCCACGACAACGCCATAGAGGTCAATCCCGAGGTGGTCCAGGAGCAGTTCGACACCACTAGCTGGAAGTACCGCGCTGGAGAAAATTGGCTGTCCTTCGGCAATCAGAGCGCGGAGATAGAGAAAGCATAAGTTCAGTCCGTTGAAGGAGAAGGTGACCGACGCTACAACATGAATATTGATAGTTGCACGCCTGTCCGACTAGACTTTGTCTCGCTATAAAAGCAAGTTCAATAGCTTCAATTACAAGCTATGAAGGCCGCGAGTAGCGCTGCCCGCATTCACTGAAGTCTGAGATAGTTATTGTGTGCAGCTGCTGTAAGATCAGAGAATCTGTTTGTTCGTTGTTCAATGCTCGCTGCATACAGTGTCTGCGCATTTCTGTTGTATCCTGCTTCGCAGGTGACAGGCATGTCTTCGGAAACCTTCCTTGAGAAGGAGCGGATTTCTGTGCCGCCAGCAGGTCGACGAGCCAGGCATACCCCTGGTGCTTCCCTGCGCAGGAGAGCGGCGGAGGCTACGCCCTTCGCCCAATTCGATTCGATATCGACCGTTTCCAGTTTTTCACTGTTCTATGCGTGTATGGGATACAGTCATCGGCCTGACCTAAGGACCGATAAATAAGGAACGAAGCCCCTGTTTCCAAGGAGAAAAGCATAAGGAACGATACATAATAAAACAACGCATAAGGAACGACACGTAACGCATGCAAGCCTTAAGGAACGACCGAGCCCCTTTTGAAAAGTAAGTGTTCTGTACTCAAGCCGCTCACTGTAGATCTTGACAGGCAGCAAGATCAGGTAGTTAAGCCATCATCTGGTGCCTCCCTGGTCAGTCATGGAGTGCCTGAAAGGCCCCTCTGAGGGTCGTCCGATTTCTGCCGTGCCGCTGGCGCAGCTGCTCAGAGAGGCAGCCCAAGCCAGGCAGAGGCCGCCCCGCCCTAGAGGAAAGGTGGCCCGAACTCATCATCCAACTGCGTGCTGGTCTTCCTCCTCCTCCTCCTCCTCCTCCTCCTCCTCCTCCTTCCCCCCCTCCCCCCCCCCCCTCCCCCCTCCCCCTCCCTCCTCCTCCTCCTCCTCCTCCTCCTCCTCCTCCTCCTCCTCCTTCCTCCTCCTCCCACTCCTCCTCCACCTTCTCCTCCCCCCCCTCCCCCCCTCCCCCTCCTCCTCCTCCTCCTCCTCCTCCTCCTCCTCCTCCTCCTCCTCCTCCTCCTCCTCCTCCTCCTCCTCCTCCTCCTCCTCCTCCTCCTCCTCTCCTCCTCCTCCTCCTCCTCCTCCTCCTCCTCCTCCTCCTCCTCCTCCTCCTCCTCCTCCTCCTCCTCCCCCCCTCCTCATCCTTTCCTCCCCTCCTCCTCCTTCTCCCCTGCCATCGCTCGGACGTTCATTCCCTGTGTATGTTTCGGGTTTCGTACCTGGCTTTTTCGCAGGACGATCCAGGATGCTCCTCAATGATCCCCGCCGAGAAAAAGTGCACACGTCCGAGCGATACCAAGCTCCTCCTCCTCCTCCTCCTCCTCCTCCTCCTGCTCCTCCTCCTCCTCCTCCCCTCCCCCTCCTCCTCCTCCTCCTCCTCCTCCTCCTCCTCCTCCTCCCCTCCTCCTCCTTCTCCTCCTCCTGCTCCTGCTCCTGCTCCTGCTCCTGCTCCTGCTGCTCCTCTTCCTCCTCCTCCTCCTCCTCCTCCTCCTCCTCCTCCTCTTCCTCCTCCTCCCGGCGTCAGAGGGGGGGATGACGACGACGAGGCCCAGACCCCATCGGGTCACGAAAAAATCATGACGGGGAGTGTTGCATCTATCTTCGGCCTCTGGGGGCCCTCACTGGCCTTCGGGACCGTCAAAAGACGACGCATGATGAAAAAACAGTCCCAGGAATGGGTCGAGACCTCTAGGGATCGACATTATGAAATTAGCATTGCAGCATGGCAAAAAAAACCCAACCATGTGCAGTTATGTGTGCTGCAGTTGTGGCTTCGGTAGAGCTCCCTAGGGGGCCACGAAGCGCTGTAGGTGGGTGAGACGCATGCGAACTGCCACTGGGACCTTCGGTGAAGCTCCCTCTTGGGCCACGAAGCGCTGTATTGGGTGGGGAAACGCCTGCGAACTGCGCCAGTGGGACCTTCGGTGGACCTACGAATGGGGCCACGAAACGCTGTAGGTGGGGGAGGCGCATGCGAACTGCGCCATTGGGGCCTTGGGTGGAGCTCCCTATGGGGCCACGAAGCGTTGTACTGGACGGGGGAGACGCGTGCGAACTGCGCCACTGTGACCTTCGGTGGAGCTCCCTCTGAGGTCACGAAGCGCTGTGCTGGGCGGCGGAGACGCATGCGAACTTCGCTGCTGGGACGTTCGGTGGAACTCCCGATGGGGCCACGAAGCGGTGCACTGGGAGACGCATGCGAACTGCGCCTCTGGAGCCTTCGGTGGAACTCTCTATGGGGGGCCACGGAATGCTGTACCGGGTGGGAAGGACGCATGCAAACTGCGCCTTCGGTGGAGCTATCTATGGGGCCACGAACCGTGTGAGGGGTGTGACGAAATCGGCATGCGGTGGGCGGGGAGGGCGCATGCGGACCCGGCCACTGGGGCCGTCGGTGGAGCTCCCCACGGGGCCACGAACCGTGTGAGGGGTGTGCCGAC